AAAAAAAAAAAAAAAAAAAAAAAACTGAAGCACTGGAGGTATCTGCCCGTCGGCGCGGTCGTAGCCTTTGAAAGTTAATCCATGGTTCCTCGCAGGACTGATGGTCAACTTGCGAGCGCTCCGGAGCACACGAAGCTCAGAGACAAAGACGCCCATCCCGTCGCAGCTCCCGTTCAACCACTCAAAATACGCGCTCAACTTCTTCCGTCCGGCCATCTCTACCTCCATCTTGAATTTAGGATAGTGGCGTCGAACAGAAAGCTCGACACTGTCCGCCACAAGCGTACCACCCCATCGCGATTGTAGGTCCAGGGCGATGTTGCGAAGCAACGTCTCCGTGTCGTCGGCCTGATCACTGCCCATGCTCGAAGTGCCGACGAGCTTGACGATGGTGGTGGGCGGGAAATCCAGATGGTGGAGGATGTTCTCGATTGCGGCGGCGCTGTCCCGTAAACAGATATAGTCCAACTCCGGGAATGGTAGGCATCGCGAGTCGCGTCTCTCGAAGGCAATCGATTGCGAGGATTGCGAGAGGCGCGATAGATCGAGCTTGCGCAGTTGAGGAAGGGGCCTGAGGCCACGGAGTAGACCGTCGATCCCGTGGACAATGGTGCGTTCGTCGAGCTCGAGGGATGTGAGAGAGGGGTTGGGGAAGTTCGACGGGTGCAAGGTTCTACTGGGTTCGGCGGTTTGCTGGCTTACCCAGTTCCAAATGTCGGTATTCGGTGTAGACATGGCGAATGGGTTGATGGGCAACATAGCGCTGTAGCCCGCGGTCTTTATACTGTGTAGTGAACCACGCGGAAGTATAAGCTTGACACATCGTATGTCCTTGTGCGCTAGCCCACAGCGTGGTTGACCGCAAGTCCAACGCCCGCTGTCGTATCAAAGCAGCATTGTTCACTTGGGCGTCATGGTGAAACGTGAGTTAGCCGGACCCCTTCAGCAATGGTCAACCACAGAGAAAGCAGACGCATGAATCATAGCGTAACGTCAACAATTGACGTCAACGTTGGTATGGTACATGACTGCAATATACGGAAGGAGGTGAAGGCATGTCGTGCGTGGACGATCATGGAAGTTTGTGGACAAGTCACGACGCGCGTTTGCAGCCATCACATCTTGTCATGAACGTCCATGTAATCGTCACGCTTTCAAATGACGCCGCATGGGTATGGAATTGGTGGTTTGCAGCGTATTGTCGGATGTTGTAATTCACTGCGGACGATCTTGGGGCTGTGCGATTTTGACTTTCGCCCACAGGACAGAGTTGAGCGCGGAACCATAACTGCGCTCGCAGACAGGTGCTCAAAGCATCTCAGGAAGACCACAACGTTTGGATCCGGCCGTAGCGCTGTAGCAGCTATTATATCAGCGGATATGCAGTAAATGCGGAAGTCTTTATCGCCATGTCTCTCCAACAACCCCCGACTTCGGACTTCAAGCTACCGTCCGAGATCTGGTTCAACATCTTCGATATACTCTTTCCCGAATACATCGAGGAAGCCGAGCGCAAGGGCAGAGACTACCTTCCCCATTACATCCTTCTACCTTCAGCGCCATGGAACGTGCTCTCTCGCGTCTGCAGGCGCGCACGGGATCTCGTGCGCAACCACAGCGCGCACGTTACTATGCTCCGACCTGATTTGACATCCAACGCTCTGAAGGAACACACCGACGGCAGGCCATTGGATTTTCACTACACCGATATCGACGACTGGGCGACATTTGACCGCGAGTATACGTTTGACTTCTCCATCCCGGCCGCTGTAAAACTTGCACTCGACACCTTGCCCAAGGCGAAGACGTTTGCTGTATTTGCTCAAACGGCCGTCAACATGAGCGGCTACGCCTCGCTTGCCATGCCGCCCGGATATCACCGAGGACTCTCCAAAGTCGAGAAGGTCGACCTTTTGTCCAACATCCTCGGAACGCTGTCAACGACACCGGACCAGATCTTGCAAGAGTTGCGTATCTTCACGCAATCCGACATGATGCTAGTAGACGGCATAGACCCTTGCCTCGTGTCTCTGCGCGCGAGCGAGAGACTTCTCTGGACATGCGGCGCACATTGCTTCCCTGAGCTGAAGTACCTCGCATTATCTGGACTTTTCTGCACGGTCCCACCACGTCTCCCGCCGTCGCTCACCAAGCTGAAGCTATCGTGCACCTTCACCACCAGTATGGACGACCTTCTCGACATGCTCCATCTCCTCCCTCATCTGCGCAACTTGGCTCTGTCGAACTGTGCGCACGGTCTTCCCTCAATCATACCTGATCGACACATGCGACATCGGTATGTGCGCTTACCGCACCTCCACAGTCTTGCGTTACAAGAGAGACTTGCGGCGCTCACGATCATCCTCTTCCACCTCGACTTCCGGCCTACTACGTGCATGGATCTCAAGAACCACGGCCCATACGACAGGGGTGTGAATGCCGCCGAGACCATCAGCGCCTTCGCCCGCGAGGTTCAATCGCATCTGGACCCCGGATCGGAAGAGGAGATGCCCGCCTTCGAGTCACTGGAGATCAACCTTTGGAAGCAGGTCAATGCTTTCGATCTGCACGCTAAAGCGGGCGAACAGACGCTTGATATCTGGCTCGACTGGACCTACGCCGAGGATCCAGGGTACGACGGCCTTTGCACCTTCCTGAAGGAGCTTCATGAGCTTCATTCGGTGTGGCGGCTAGACTTGGCACCGGGGATCTACCTCTCACGCAGTAGGTGGGACGCGCGCCCTCTTCGGTTGGACGAGACGTTGCTTTGTCTGTCGGAAGTCGAGGAGCTTAGTGTGCAGATGCGTCTTACTCCGCACGTCTGTTACGCGCTCCGGTACGCTTACCCGGATGGCAGTCCAGTCCTTTTTCCAGTTCTGCAAAAGCTCATCGTTGTTGACGAGCTGGAGATGGATGCCAGTCGCGTCGTCAAGTCTTTGGGAACTTGTATCGCGGGAAGGTCCGGCGTACTTGACAAGGTGGTCTTTGTATCATGTCCTCGTCTGAGTGGGTGCACTCCCGATCGGCTGGCTTTGGGTCTCGAAGGAGTATCCATCGATTTGAGTGAAGTCGATAAGATGTCTGCACTTGTCGGCAAGGGGGTGCATGAAGCCGATTCCAAAGACACTGAATGGGACTCGGATTCCGACGATGACGCGCCTGAAGACGACAGTTTGGTTATAGAACCCGTTGGAATCCCCATCCCCATCCCCATCTAACGCTCATCTGTCATCTATGTCAATCTTCATGTATTTCACAACAGCATCGTGTATCAATAGCCACGGTCATGCTGCATCTAGTCACGTCAGCGTATGTCTTACCTTGTAGCATCAATGACATGGCGGGGAACGGTTCATGCCGAAAGTGCGCGACGCACGGCCTGGGTACTGGAGATGGTAACAGAAGAGGTCCAATTAAAGTATGATATATTGCAGCAAGAAGCATCGCGTTCCACAGATCGATAGTCGAATTACATGTTCACAATCCCGCCGAAACCATCGCTATCTCATCGCAAACAAGTTGGACAACATTTGCGCAAGTAGCGTCACGCGTAGAAACCAAGATTGCCCCGGCGTGAGGAGAACAAACACACCGGTTGATACATTGCAGATAAGCAGCGAGAACTGGTGCAGGAATTGAACGCTCAAGGCGGCTTGGGAATGCCAGCGGTAAGCGTCCAGCCAACATATGCAGAACGTGACGATGTTAAAGGCCGACCAGATCACGACGAGGAGCGCCATGATGACATGCACCGCTTGCTTGAGCGTCATCGTGCCGTACGCCTGACTCACAATACCCTGTGTCCTGTCAGCACTTGCTACACGTAGTTCGCACAAGATGTACTGACGATCTGAATGCCTACATGGGACCGGGTTGCATTCACGGCCTCGCGGCATCGGACTGCGACCGCGCAGGCGATCTTGCCAGCGAGGTTGCCCCATTCTGCAGGGCGAGGATCTTGGTCACCAGCAATTATACGCCAGGGTGTAGTGATCAAGTTGAAGTTCGGTGTACCGAAAACGGCCACGTTGTAGAGTTGCTCTGGGGCCTTCTGCTCCTGCTGAGCATCTGGATAAGGAAGTAGTGTTAAGCGCGTGCGTGTAGGGGAGCATACGCAGAATAAGCATCATGCACTCACATTTCATATACGCTCCCACCGGGTCTGGAGAAGCCCCGCGCCGGGGTTCAAGTTGGCGCCTGGGCCTGAGGCGTGGGGCATCGTCGAACTCGCGCCGCACTAGAACACGATGTCATGAGTATATGATTGGAATGTACTTGCGCAGGAGATCCTGGACGTACTAGCAGTCGAGATATTGACCGAGACAGACGTGAAGTACGCGCTGAACACAACCGTCTGCCACACGGGCTCGTTGACCACGACATTTTCGCCGGGATGACCGGGTAGTGTGGTGGTGGATAGCACGAACATGGAGGTAGGGATGCACGAGAGATGTTCGACAGATATCTTGATAAGCGCAAGCGTCTCCTAAGATGCGGCTCAGTGTTGCGGTCCTGTGGCGAAAGCGCGCGACGCACCTGATAGTCTGCGGTGCGAGGGATAGCCGTCTTGGTGCCCTCATACTCCACAGCGAGGGGACCCAAAGACGCAGCGGGTGACCTCTCTTGGCCTTCAGCGGCGGTTTCTGATACCATAGTGTATGGGAGGGGAGGGATAAGAGGCAGACCAGACCCCTTTGGTGGCCTTTATACTCGCCAGCACAAGGGGAACATGGCTTGCTCGTGGCGCGTCAGGGCTGGAACCGCCTGGATAGACCGAGTATTGAAGTAGATACTGGGTAGTAGTTGTCCCCTTGGTAGAGCCATCCGGGTTTGAGCAGCCGATATGATCGATGGACATCGCGTTGAACAAGAGCGTGCTGAGACCTGCTGAGGCGTGTCGGTCGCCATCAACGTTCTGTGACCCGCGTGACAAGACGCGTCGGGACGCGCGGCGCGCTCTGGGGCCTGGGCGCGTTCTTGTCCAAGGCTCCCGCCACCATCGCCCATTGGGTGCACACGCATCATCGCCGGAATTTGCGGTGAGCTTGGGCTAAGAGTAACTTCACCTGCGTAGAAATTTGACTCTGGATCACTACCTGTGCGTTTCCCAATTACGAAGCGAATACGCTGAAGGTAATTGACATTGATGTCAATGAAGACGTTGCGATTGGAGGTACGATAGGAAGACAAATTGATAGGAGGGCACGGCAACAGGCATATCAATACATAAGATACATCTGATTATTTACCACTTGGGGTCATAGGGCGAAGTAGAACCCACGGCCCGTGGTTAACAGGACGTAGGCCAAGAAGTGATAAGACCAGGCGATCAGAGATTGCCCCAGAAGAACCGTGTACATCATGGTCCCCGCACGTGCCTCGCAAATGTCTCCAGGAAAGAGGATAACTAACAAGGCGGAGACGTTATAGATGAACCACCCGAACTCTCTACAGATCATGTGGATCATCCGATCCCACTCGCCGGAGAGGGGTATCTCGGAGTATTGCACTTGTTTGGACGTGAAGACGAGGTTGAAGATGACCCAAGCCGTCAGGATGAAAGCTCTGAGAAGGAATAACGCCCTTTGCCGAGGCGTAGTCGCGCTCTCGCGCCAAACGCTCGCCTACGCCGGCTGATCAGATACTCGTATATGTCGGAACAGGCGCTCGCGCACTCACCACTTTGACAGGTATCGAGATCATCCCCGCCTTAATCAAAGCATAAAGCGCGACAATATCGCCCCAGACGCTTTTCCACAACATCATTACGAGCGTGCTTTTGCCCGGGTTATTGAGAGGGTGGAGATGATAGCGCGGCGGCGGGGCCTCCGCTTTCAAGATCGGCCCACCGCCCCTGAAAGCCAATCCTCCACGATCTAGCCGTCGCGCGTCAACAATGCATACCACTCTGAAAGAACTGACGTGACGCACCAGCGAAGTCGTTCGGGTTCGGTGGCGCAGCCATGTTGTCGAGGGTGTCTGTGAGCATGCTACGTTGAGAGCGAGGATATGCGTGTTGGAAGCACACCGGAAGGGGGCTTGCCAGAACTTATACCAAAGGGAACTGCAAAGGTCACACGACCGACAGTGGCTGTTTGAGTGGCATAAAGAGGCGCCTTTATGATCACAGGCACCTTTGTGCCAAAGGCCAAAGCGGCAGATCCCGCGTCACGCGGGAGCATTCGAAGCGTCCAGTTCTAGCAAAAGCACGTTTATATGCGCGAGATACAAGTACAGCTTTGTGAGACCCGGAGTCCATCTGCTAGCAGATGCCAAAAGAGTGTTGTAAGGGATCATTTGAACGTATGAATGAGTGTGATGAGCGGAGCGGAGGTGTCGCTTGACAGAGGATGAACGAGAGAGGGATAACGCGAGAAGACGAGAATGGAGGATGTAGCGCAGAAAGACGATGGCATGGAGATGTATCACAAGGCAAAGAGGACGAGACGATGATGGAGGGGGGTAACGCCGAGACAGATCACAAACAAAAGAAAGAAAAGAGAAGATCTACTTGTCGAAAGTCTTGAGGAGCACGTTCTTGAAGAGCGACGCAGCGCTCTTCGACTCCTGCTTATCCAACTTCCTAAGCTCCTTGCCAATCTTAATCGCATCCTCGGGAGAGTTGGCGTTGATGAAGTAGTTGACGTTCTGCAAGCTCAATCAGCACATATCGTAACACGAATAGAGAAATCGCGACTGACCGTTCCGACGTTGGTCGTGTTTGACCCTGGGGTCTGCGAGACCCCTACCTGGTGGGTATAAGCCAGGTGATAAGCAGAACTCGCAGCGTTGGCAGCTTGCTGGGCTTGTGAGAACTGCTGCTGAGCGGCCGCAAGCTGGGCATGATGCACACTCGGAGATAACTGGCCGTAAGAGTAGTTCGACCCCGGTGGCGGCGGCGGCGGTACCGGCGTCTGCCCCGCCGTCAAATGCTGCACGGGGGCCACGTATGGCTGCAGCGCGTACTGCGAAGCCGCATACTGCGACCCCGCAACCGACGGCGCATGGTGCGACCCGGCAATCGAAGGCGGCGCGCGGCTCCGCGTCGAGCTCGCGACGGACTTCGCGCGCTTCGACCCAGACGACTTGTGGCTCCTAAGCGACCCGGCGTCCGAGCCACCGCCGTAGCGCGACTCGCCATCGCCATCCCTCTCCTTTCTAGACCCAGCCCTCGTAGACTTCTTATGATGACTCGACGCATGCGGGTTACGCCCCTCCAGAGCGCTGAACGCCTGCGCGCGCGGCGTCTCAGGCTCACCGAAGTTCGAAGAGCTGATGGAGGCATGCGAGCCGGAGACATATTGCGCGGGAACAGCGGGCACGGGCGGGATGTGCGCACTGTAGGTCGAGCCGGCGTCGCTGTTGCTGTAGGCAGAGCGCACGTCCGAGTGACTCCTAGAGCGACGGGGCTTCTCTTCCTTCCTGCGCGCACGGCGCTGACTGCGCTCGTCGTCGTCCGAGCGGTCCACGTAGTACGAACCGTCTTCCTGGCGCCTCATACCGGGAACATCCGTGTTAGCGCGGACCATGGGTGGCGCGCGGTTTGGGTTGAGCGGAGAGGAGTTGTAAGGCGTGTGCGGCGAGGGGCTGTACGAGGTGGGCGAGGAAGAGTAGGTCGAGCGGCCGTCGATGGATGACCCGAAGGAGGTTGTGCTGTCGCGCTGGATGTGGGTGGTTGGGTACGGGTTGTGTTGTTGTACGTTGGTATCGATGCGAGGAGAAGGAACGGCCGAGGGAGTAACATGCGGCGACGTCGTCGTGTACGGCGCGCCGCCGACACCTTGCTGCTGCACGCTGTTGAAGCTGGTCGTGCTTGCCGCGTAACCTCCAGACGCGTAGAACGGGGCGCCGCCGGGACTGTGCGCTGGCCCGCCACCGTGGTGGTGCGCCTTGGAACGCGAGCGCGACGAATCGCGAGAAGAGTACGAGTACTCAGACATAGTTGCTGTGTTGATGCTGTTGCTGAAAGAGGAAGCTGTAAAGTAGGCGAGATGTGGGAGGAGAGCGACTGCGGTAGAGGGACTCGAGGCGAGACGATGTGGAGGCAGAAGCTGGAAGCCCCAAAGGGACGCGCAACACGTTTTATACCAAAGGCGCTGTGGTCGAGATCTAAACGGGATAGGCTGCGGACCACAAGGCAAAAAACGAGGTGAAAAACAATGGGTGTAGAATAATGGGCCGAGCGCCGGGTGCCTGTGCGGTGGTTGGGAGTGGTTTCTTTCACAAACCGCTGCTTGGATCAGGTGGACATTCGGAGTTGGCCGAGCGCATTTTTTTCAGCGGTAGATGCTCTGCAGATACAGCGTCAGAAGCAATTTGCACACTGCGTAGTAGGACGTACCAGTAGCCAAGAGCGGACGAGCCCGAGCAATTCCAGAATTGAGGGTCTCCCACTCAGTCCGGTGTGCTACCGCCGCGGGTCCACGCACATTGACTCTGGCCGGCATGCAACTTCAAGTGGCGAACAATACCACGACACTGCATTGTCTCTCCAATCACACAATAGCATACATCAACGTCAACAACGAGCAACAAGCACCACCACCTACGCCCAATCTTAACAAACATCCGTATACGCACAAACCCCCAACACCCCCACATGCGCCGCAGCGCACAACGCAGTAACCACCAAACCATCGCTAGCATTGTCAACCACCGCAAGCGCGAGCAGCAGCGTCAACGCCGCCGGGCCCGGCCTCGTCTCCCTGGCAAACAGCGTAGCGACTTTCGCGATCAGGACGGCTGCTTTGGTTGTGCGGTGCGCTGTGACGAGCCAGGGTCTTGATGGAGGCCGATGGGAGTGGTTGCGCCGGATGGGCGAGGAGCGGGGATGTGGGATGAGCGGGTCCGACTTCTCCGCGCGGGGTGTAGGCGAGCGAGAATGCGATAGTGTAGGCGTTGCGGGATCGACCATCGTTCCTATACCGATATCTCCAATCTCATCCAACGGCACCTCACTGACATGCGACCTGATCCCCGGCCTCCCATCCTCATCGACCGAGAGGTCCAGCTCAGGCTCAACAGGTCTCGCGAGGGACGCCGGAACGAGCGCGTCTTCTGTCTCTACGACGACGCGCGTTCCGGTACGGCGCGGGAGAGGGTCGAGTTGGCCTTTGTGTATAGCCGAGAGAACTCTTTCCGCTGATGGTCGACGCAAAGGGTCGACGGCTAGCAAGTTCTCGAGTAGAACACCCCATGCTGCCGGAAGTCGTCGCGCTTCAAGCACCCGTTCGCCTTTCGCGCTCATCCCTCCTCCATTGCCATTCCCAGCCACACGACCGAGATCAGCCGCGCGGAAGCCAGTGTACTCTCGTACTTCCCTCGCGAGCGCCGAGAGCGTCGACCGTTCGGACAGAGGATGTTGTGAGGAGCCTGACGCGTGTGCGTAGGGCAGACGGAAGAAGAGCAGTTTGTGGAGGACCATGCCCAGAGACCACATATCCGCTTTTGAGTCTGCCGGGGGTGGAATCCAGTTGGCGTGATGATGGCTTGTTGCGCCGGTGAAGAGACCTCCGCCTCGTCCGTTGATAGGTGGAGGTGAGGGAGGAGGAACGCTTTCGGGCGCAGTGTACTCTAGGGTACCGGTGTTGCCTGTGCGTGGGGCGTTTCCTGGACGGAGGGCGTCACGGGATGTACCGAAGTCGGAGAGTAAGGCACGCGGGACGAGGGGCTGTGTTGCGTCCCATGTCAGCAGGACGTTGCCGGGTTTGAGGTCGAGATGCAGGATTGACTTTTCGTGCTGCAGTTGATGAAGTCAGGAAAGGTACAAGAGTATAATCGTGAATAGATGAACGTACGAGGTATGCAAGTCCATCGACAATCCCGCCGAAGATGCCTTTGACCTCTTCCGCACTGAACAGATGCACAGCTCTCCAACTCCCTCCGCTGTGTCCCCCACCAGCAGCATTGCCGGGGTGTCCACCCTCAGCACCATCCAACCCTAGCATCGCTCGCAACCTCTCTTTCTCCGCCGGCGCCGCACGCTGCATCGCACGGAAAGCACGTATACGGCCCGCACGAGTATGCACGTCTTGTGTCTGTGCATCCGGTTCATGAGAAGAAGATGCGTTGGTCCCGTCTGATGGAGGAGGCGGAGGTGGAGATGTACGTCCCAGACGTATGTCGATGTAGTCATCCAAAGACCCTCCTTCGGCCCATTGCATCAACACACTACACCCACTCATCAGCATCTCCATCCTCCCAAACACGAACACGAGGACAAGACGTACTGAAGCGTCGGCACCGCCGGCCCGAAACTCGAGAACCTCGCGCTCTCAAGCCACGAATGATGATACGTGATAATATTCGGATGTCGAAGGCTCTCCAACAGCCTGACTTCGCGCAGTATTTGAAGCAGGTACGACTGGGATTCGCCAATGGCGATCTTCTTGACGGCGAAACGGCCTGTGTGTTTGAAGGGGGACTAGGTTCACCTAATGCTCATCTGTATGGGCATGAAGATGGGGCTGACCGAGGGGGTTGCCGTTTAGGACGTGCTATGAACATAACCATCATGTCATATGAATGAAGTTGATCAATAATGGGAAGTATTGGTAGAGGAAAGGATCCTACCTGACACAAATAAACACTCCCACTAGCGCCCATCCCCAACCTCGCCTCTTCAGTGAAGAAAGCCTTAAAATATCCCTCGGCCATGGCCTCCCTCCTAAACGCCTTAGTCGGACTAGGCTCCCTACTCCTCCTCCCATACCCTCCCTGGGAGGAACTCGCCGCAACAGCTGGCGGCGGCGGCGGTGTCGCAGGCCTCGACGTGGACTCGTGCGCCACGCCCAACAATTTAAAATAGTTCGCAGCGGGGTTCACACCGCCCCCTCCGTCCTCAGACCCGTCCAGATGGGCGAGAGCATGATCAGAGTCTAATATTTCTTCGTCCGAGTCGACGTCCGAATCGTCGAATGGGCGCGAGCAGTACGGGCATCGCTTGGCCGTGCGTGCGAGAGTGGACCGCTGATCTGCGATGGAGAGGGCGTGGTTGTTCGGGTTGTAGAGCACGATCTGCCCGTTGTCGGCTTGGAGGATCGGGTACGACTCGGAGGCTTGGACGATAGTGTACGAGGTGGACGCGACGAGCGTATCTGTCATTATTTGTATTGTGTTCACCGCGCACGGACGGGGTGGCGGTTGAGAGAGGGCATGTGGCGTCATTGAGCCAGGCGTTATGTAGGCGCGACTGCCGCGGTTCACGCGCTCGCCGCGTTGCCCCGCATCCAGACTCTGAACAGGCAATCCTCATTACATTCCGATCCGGCTTTGTATTTGTACAACAACAGCAGCCAAACACACATTTCTTTTCCACATTCCAGTACAACAGTCCCGGGAGAAACCAAGACATGACACCGAGCATCCATCCAACCCGATCGACGCGTTTACTGGTGCTCGATGGCCATAAGCGAGCCCACGAACGTCGAGATCTACCGAACTTCGTCAGGAACGACTTCATAGTGCGAGATAGGAGAGGACGTACCAAACGCGGTCGAATATCAATAATATCCTCCGGCACGAGGAAGATGAGCGCATTCAACTTCCTCGCAATGCTAATAGCCAGCTTCGCATTCGCCTTGCGATCCTCATAGTCCCCATTCGCATCGACATGCACGATCAGCTGCGGGTCGACGATACCCGGCCTCATCCCCTCTAACACGTCGAGGAAGAAGATACCCGTAGCGAGACTGGGATCCTTAAAGCTCCTAATCGCCTTGCCGCCCTTCTTCGCCGCCTGCGCATTAGCCCACTTCACCATCTCCATATCGCTAATCAGCTTCCCGCTCCCGCCCGCCAGACTCGACAGCGTCTTGGTGATGTTCATCCGCATCAGCTGCCACACCAGTCCGAGCACCAGCGTGCGGTTCGCGTCGACGATGTCGGAGCCTTGGATGCCGACGAGCGTCATGCCGGACTGTTTGCCCAGCTCGACGACGTAGTTCGTGTTCTCGACCTGCTTGAACCGCGTGAGGGTGCTCTGATTCGGCTTGACGCCGATATCCTCTTCCTCGCCCTCGTCCATCATACTAGCCGGAGCAGCCGCAGCTCCACCCTTCGGACGGCTAACCCTGCGCCACACGACCGATCCAGGCTTAACCTTATCAAACGCCTGAAGGATAATAAGCCCGTCCCTCAGATTCTCGAACAGGTTGAACACCGCCGGCTCGACGTTCAGACTGTTCAACCAGAGCGTGAACACGCGCGCCTCGCGCTCGCCCTCCGCGTCGAAATCCTCGACCGCGCCGAAGTCTTTCATCTCTTGCTCCTCAAGCGGCGCGAGGCCCGGCCAGGTGTTGAACAGGTTCGCGACGAACGCGAGGTTCAGGCGCGGGTTGCCGCTGACGAGCGAGGAGGGCGTGAGGTACTTGCGGCAGCCGATCTTGTCGGCGTTCTGCAGGACTTCTTCGGCGCGCTGTTTGATGTCGCGGGTTTGGAGGGGCGCGCGGGAGCATTCTTCGGGCTTGAGCTGGTTGAGGAGGACGGTGTAGTTCTCGCCGTCCATCACGTCTTTGCTGAAGTTGTTCACCCTGTACAAGTTGATCGCATTAGCACCTCGTCCATTGTGAAGATCGCAATGATTCAAGTCATACCTGCGGTGCCAGCCTGCCTGCTTAAGGTGATAGTTGAACCAACGCAACAACAGCTGATCCGGCGTCAACCTCAACAGATCCTCAATCGTCTCCCCCTCTTCGCACAAGCGGTACAGCTCCGGATGCAGCTTAATATCGATATTCCCAAGCAAACCCCTCCTAATGACCTGCCAAATCAATCCCAAAATGAGATGCTCACGCCCCTCGGCGATGTCGTTTGAGCCGATGTTGACGACGGAGCAGCCGATGGCCTTGGCGGAGGTGATCACGATGTTGTTGTTTTCTGTGATTTGGAAGGCGTTGAGAGCCTTGCGGGCCGTGGGCTTGTTTACGACGCGCATGTCAATGGTGTCGGGGACGGAGTCGTTGATTAGTTTGCAGAGGATTAGGCCGTCGCGGGTTTCGTCGAAGAGCTGCATTGTGTTGGTCGGGATCGGGATGCGCGAGCCGACGTCCGGGTCGCCTTCGAGAACCTGTGGGGCAAGATCAATATAATTGTACATACTTAAGTCAAGAAAGAGGGCGTACGCCATTGATGTGGTCGGTGAATGAGTGCAGCTCGTCCTGGTTGATGGTGTGGGAGGTGCTCATGTTGGCGCCCTCGACGATGGTCTTGTTGCCCTTGACCTTGATCGACGTCGTCTGCTGCTTCAGCTTCGTGTTCAACTATATCCCCAAATATCAGATTCCAGATTTCATATTCAATAGATATAAGAGAAGAACGCGCACCTCGACCCAGTCCTCGAGCTCGACCTTCCCGCTCGCGTCCACACCGACGTGCTTGAGCGTCTCGCGAGCCTTATCATACGACTCGCCTTTCTGCTGTAACGCCTGCAGCACCGTACTCTTATCCACGCGTCCATTCCCGTCCACGTCGATCGCGCTATTCCCGTGATTACTACAATCCTGCGACAGAGACAAGAACCAGCGACGTACTTGAAACGATTGATCAGATCAAACATCTCCTCCTGCGACACCTCCGGGTACTTTCGTTGTAGCTTTATCGCCTGCATCTCTGGCTATTCGTGCGGTTGAAAGGGCAAGGGAAGGGGAAGATGAGAGTCAAGGATAAGTTATGCAGATGGGCGATGCGCGTCATCGCGTCGCCTTGACCTGAACAAGCCCAGCGCCCGTCGGGGCGGAAACGGTCCGACGTCCCCGGCCGACTGCGTTGACGGTTGCACTCTGACCACCACCACCGCCTTTGCATAGCTCTACGCAGTATATCTGTGCTGCGATGAGCATCATGATACATCCAAGCCATTTCTCCCAGTCGCGCGTCTCGGTTGTCAGCTCTGAGCGCTGAGCGCTTATGTGTAATTGACGCTGTCAGCGGAAAGACCCGCGAAATTCCACATTCGCAGTCCCTCGAAGCTTCGAAGGCGAGATAAAGGCGAGACGTGGGGTTCTGCGAAGAGATTAGATCAAGCCTCATGATAACTGCGGCGCATCAAGAAGACGACAGGATCCCGCGAGGTGTGTACTCGGCCAAGATGTCTTGTCCGCCGGAGACTCGCCCGTAGCGTCAAACGAATATATCCGGGCACCGGAAGCTACCGCCCACAACCCCTCGTCGTATACTACAACGCGCCGTGGTTGCATACCGAAGGCCCATGCAGTCTACAAGCCGGATGTTACGCCTTGTCAGCCCGTCTTCGGCGTTGACACACCTTTCCCAGCCTTACGGTCCACTTATTCAGCATCTCCATCCTATCCGAGTCCGCTGCTCGAGAAGCGCCAGAGCCATACATAAGACCTGTCGCAATCATAATCACACCCTCTCCAGATCCTTCTCTCCCCGTCACACCCACACACCAATACCTATACCGTCACGCAACATGTCCAACACCGGAGACTCGGGCAAGAAGTGGGCGCTGCAGTGCACTGGCGTTGCACTCGAGACGGTCAACAAGCATTCGAGCGACGAGGAGATCACTCTGTTCGCTGTATGTGGTGTTTGGAATACACAATGGAATGCGCGCTGATCGGGCTTTGATTACAGTCGGCATACTGCCCTTTCGTCCAGCGGGCCTGGTCGGCGATCGAGTTCCTCGAGGTTCCCTACAGGGTACGTTTGCGACTTCACTCTACTTTGCGCATCCAGACGCTGATGTTCGTTTCTTCAGTACTGTCAGTGGCGATTCACAGCACTCTACATGATATGGGGTACTGATCGTGATATACAGATGAGGTCGACGCCTACGCAAAGCCCAAGCCCGCCGAGCTCCTCGAAGTCTCGCCCAAAGGTCTCGTCCCCGGCCTCAAGCTTAAGAACAACGGCTCCCCACTTGGCCTCAACGAGTCCACCGTTCTTGTCGAGTACTTCGAGACGTACGTCCTCCTCCCACCTCCCTCTCTTCACATCCTAACCCCGCACATCTAGCGTCGCCGAACAAACAACCAAAAAGACCCTCCTCCCGCCCGTAACAGAACCCTACGCCCGCGCCCTCGTCCGCCTGCAATGCGACCACGTCTCGCGCTCCCTCGTCCCCAACTTCTACCGCTACCTCCAAGCCCAAGACCTCGACGCCCAGATCCAAGGCTACAAAGACTTCCTCGAGTCCATCGCCGCGCTGCTCGACCTCCAAGAGCGCTTCGAGAAGGAGGTGCCGAACGTTCCCAAGACGGGTGGCGGGCTATACAGGGAGGGCGGAGAGATGAATCTGTTGGACGTTTATGTCGCGCCGTGGCTTTATAGGGCGAAGCTGGTGTTGGCGTATTATAGAGGGTTTGAGATGCCGAAGGGGAAGAAGTTCTCGGCTTGGGTGGACCGCTTGTTCGCGCATCCTGCGTTTGCGAACACGTGCAGTACGGACGATGTGTACATCGACTCGTACGAGAGGTGCGTGTCTTGTCTTGGTGTTTGCGAGAAGCTTGTGCTCATGACCATCTGCAGGTACGCTTACAACCGCCCGAACAACAGCCAGATGGCCGACGCCATCAACTCGGGCCGCGCTCTTCCTTGAGGCCCCAGACGGCTTCCCGCTCGCTTTCCATTGGTTATCCGCACTGTATTCTTCATTTGTACAAATGAAAAGCACGCGTTGTATTTCTTCAACGATCGTTGACGGTGGAGGCCCGACGCTAGCCCCTATCTACCTCGTGTTGTAGCCCGAAGATCTTCGACAGCTCGGGCGTGCGTGTGCGCGTGAAGTCTATATGTCTATCTTACGCTGTCCCAGAGCCTCCGTTTCTCATACCCTTGACTTCTCATACCCTTGACGCAGACCATCATCCCCGCACGTTAGAGGTGCAAATGATCGACACCCGAAAGCCCTCGTCCAATACTAAACCTCACGCTCAAAAGAAGATCTCATCCTCTACGCCGTATGTACATAGGCGCATTGGAAATGAGCTTGCGTCCACCTTGCTGACGAACATGCAGCGACAGATCAGTTCTCGAGGACACGGCCGACTACAACTGGCATCGGCCCACCGTCGACAAGCGCGTATGCTAGTTATATCTCCTTTGTGCGTGTCAGCTGACGGGTGGCTACTCAGCTATGATCGTCTGGATCTGAAGGCCGAACTGCTCCAGAACATTCACGCCCATAAGTACGCTCCCTCAAGAAGATCCGAGTACTCCTACGGGACTGACATTCCATAAGTTACAGCCCATCCGAATTGCAAGGGCGTGCACTGGAGCCTCTCATGCACGGCCGCGATCTCATAGCCAGAGTCATCCCCAACGACGACGTCTACACAGCTCTCGCTATCGTCATCGTCCAGAGGCTCGATCCTGCTATCAAATTTGTTCAGGCACTCGTGGTCGTCCCAGACAGCCACGTCGCAAGGAAGATCCAAGAGCTTGTCGCCGCTCTGGGAAACTTTACCAACGTGAACTGTCAGATCCTCGTTGCAGGCGCAGATGTCCATGATGACTTCGCGAAGCTCGAGAACGACGATGCTCAAGTTATCGTTGGCACTCCCGGCCGCGTCTATCAGATGATAACCCGCAAGGCGTTGCGCACAGACAATATACGCATGCTGTACCTCTGTGGTGCGGGAAGCTCCGAGGCTCGGCAGTTAAAGAGGAATATCTTCGATGTTCATCGGCGGGTAGTACAGGAAAAGCGGGCGGGAGTGGTGCAGGTCGTGTTGTGCGCGGATAGGTTGCCTGCGGACATGGTTGAGAAGATAGGAATGTTACTACGTAACCCTGTACGAGTCGTCGTGCCAGAGTAGTCACCGCCTTCATGGCTGTAGTACTCGTATAAGTGCTTGAATCAAGATGATGGGGCCAGTCAGCTCCTTCCCACGGTGCAAGTCGCGGGTTGCCCTCGACCACCACCTTCTGTGAAGCCACCCCCGCGCGAGCTTCACTAGCTACACGTACATTCATCAGACAAACAGCAATTCGGATATGTCAGAGTCCCTTGCTCGCTTCAAGACATGATGTTCTGACTGGTGCGTTCATGTAGCATTCCTATGCTCCTGGGCTCCCGGTCGCTTCGGAAATCGTAGATCTCATGGATTTCGCTATGGATGACACCTCTGGCTCTCCAAACAACCTACCCCCAGAGCTCTTACTGCACATCTTCTCCCTCGCATCTGAGTCTCCTCAGACATCTGAGCTTATCTCACCGGGCATCTTCTTACCCACGCTTGCACGCCTGAACAAGACGTTCACAGAGGTTGCCAGGAAACTACTCTACACAGATGTCTGCCTGCGCTCTCATGGATCACTATCTACTCGCGAGGTCGTGCGGCGCTTCCAATGGTCTCTCGTCGTTCAGCCATCTCTTGCCTCGTACATTCGCGGCATCAGCTATGGTGGCGACTTCGACGTATCAGAACAAGAGATCAAACATCTCGCCGACGTGATATCCCGGATAGAGCATCTGGAGCGTCTGCGTATCTTTGGCTGGGAGCAGTACTCGCTGCCTCGCCTGGCAGAGGCTGTGCGCTCCAGCCACCGGCTTCGCTCACTCGAACTGAGCGTCTTCAGCCTCACACACGCATACGGCGGCAGCATCTTCCGCTCATTGATCCCGTTCTTCGAGATGCTACACGGCTGGCCGGAGATAGAAGAATTGACGGTGCACAGCCAAACTATGGGATGGGAACGTGGTGCCGCATTGGACAACTTCACACTGAGCAACGTCGCGCCGGGTCAATGTTCGCGCCTGACGAAGCTCGTATACCGCAGCGCCGAGTACTGGGAGGACCGGCATATACGCGCTATATCCACCATGGCGCCAAACGTGAAGGAAGCGCGCCTCAGTGGTGTGCTCACGGGCATGGGCCGCGAAGAGCTTGGACTCGCACTGCGCAAATGGGCGCCGCACCTCGAGCGCCTCGAGCTGCACTTCCCCAATACGGAGGCCGATCACGGGCATAACGCGCTCGGAGTGGACGACGCGCTTCGAGCCATGGACAAGCTCGTTGAACTCAGTGCTGGCACGGCCTACTTGCATGTAGCCTCCCTAGTACGAGGGTTCGATCAGCTTGAGAAGCTACAGCTGCGCGTGAAGGATCACGAATGCGATGAAGTTATCGGGCTGCTGCACGATGTGCACGCGCTTCCACATCTCAGGGAGCTCGACTTGTGGCCGGAGAAGTCGCTTCCCAGACTTGTCGCTATTGATCTTCCCGAGGCATGTCGCTCTCGGGGCATTGCGTTGAGCATCAACGGCAGGAAGGCCGTGAGCCTCGGGGAAGATGGTTCTGGCGGGCCGTGATGGTCTTTCCGCAATACTTGGCCTCGTCGTCAGTGGTAGAGATACCGATATTTCCGAGCGGATACGAGTCCGACAAGTCAAGGTCCATTCACGGTAATATGATACAGTAGTAGATCTGTTAGTGTACAGAATCAAGGAAACGGTTGCATGTATTCCTGTCTCCTCCATACAGTGTACCCAATGCACATTTAGACAGCTCCTTCACTTCTGGATATGATCCACCTAAACAAAGTCGCGATTCAGCTCGCGAGCTGCGATATACAGACTACTGGTTACGAACCAAGCGTGAATAACACCCGGGATCCATGCTAAGATCGACAGGCAGACGTTGATCCAGAAATCTAGAGCGAGATGATGTTTTGGTTCTCCGTTCTTCTACTCGGTGCACAACTTACCTGCGAGGAGCCCTCGCTTGAAGAATACGGCTAAGGGTGGAAGACTAACAGCAACAATAGTGAGACAGATGCCAAAGCTCCCTCAGATCAAAATCCTCACATGATGGCGAGGAAGTACAGGCACACGTCGTGCGTTGGTGACGGTTGTGTTTTGGCCATGATAGTCGTAGCTTTGCGTGAACAGTCGTTTGGTATGCTGTAGCGGGGTGGTTGTAAGAGCGAAAGCACGCACTAGACGATCCGTGTTTATATGCGGACATGAACAAGCAATGACGTCATGCGGTTATATTAGTCGCTCAGGTCTCCTGCTACGGAAACAATGCCGGGCCGCTTCAAGTGCCTGGGGAGTTGCTTGTGTGGCACTGATGGTGGTACATCAAGCAATGCACTTTGTCCACAGTCCTCGAATGACATGTTATATTTGCACCGCGCACACAGCTGCATATGCTCGATCGTGGATGTCGACGGGACTATCGGGAGTCCCAGGCTTTTGCAGTAGAAGTTGACTCGTTTCGCTATTCTCTTCGTGCTATACAAGCGGCTGCAGTGGCGCCGGGCACAATGGTGGGATCTCGATGGCTTTCAAGGGGACAAACGGAGAAAGGGTGGTTTGAGCCGTTCATCTAACGTCGTCCCGAGACCAAGCCTGAGGTCAGCCGGTGAGCCCGGCGGCGTCCGTGCGAAGTTGGCCTAAGGCGAAGAAGCATAGCACCATTAGTGTTGAGAAGGAAGCGGAAGTCAACTTCACCGACGGAGATGTAGTCCAGACTAATCTGATTCGAGATGATCGTCAAGATGAAGGCACCGCTGGCGCGATGAAAGCGTCGGACGCTGACCATTGTACGTATAACCACTTGCACTGTGACGCCGAGCGAGAAGGGCGGTACGGGTATGTGAGTGCGCATCGCAACGTGTCGCGCTATCGGAAGAAACTCTGACAATGTTCAGTGAGACCTTGGACCACGTTCACGCCACGAGCAAAGCTTGCATCCGTCCTCAAAGCCTCCGCGGGAGCGATAGAATGCTATAGAGAAGCTCGGTCCGCCTTTGACGAGGCGCGATGAAGGGTCCCCATATACATACAATCGTCCAAGCACGCACGGGTCTTGTTCAGACCACCCAACCACCAGTCCACGACGCTCAGGCTTGTGGTTCAATCTGCACTCCATAAAATGGGTTTCCCGACTGCTGCAAGCTCTCATCTCGGGGCAGCGCCTCACACGACTGCAACAAGAAGGCACCCGGAATATCGTCTATTCAGTAAGCACCCTAGGGCCTACTTCGTCAGCGCAAGCTGACAACATCACCCTCCCAGCATCTCGAAGCATGCTCAGCTCCAAGCGCGAAGGTAGCTCGTCTGTGGCACAACGCCAGAGTGGCACGCCTGCTGGCCTCCTATTCAGTGATGCAAGTAAAACTCGTGGTGGCAGGCCACCCACCTACCAGCCCAACACCTCGCGGCCGGCGGATACACCTTCCCATCGAGGCCTTCCCCGTCGAACATCACCTCGCATCTCCGATACGGGCTCTAAGCTTCTTTCTCCTCAGCCCGGCGTACCTCCCCTCAGAGAAATGCAACGCGGCGAACAGTACAGAGACTCTCTCATCTCGATAGCTCCTCTTTGGGAATCCGAAGCGCTCGCTCCACATCCTTCGCGCCCGTCTTCTCGAGCGTCTTCGCCGCCGCCACAGGTCTTTAGACAAGCGTATCCCGGGGTAAGGAATGCACACGGAGCTCCGGCACCTTTGCGCGCCCAGACACCACTGGCTCGTCCCTCCGCCGCGAGCGGCCCACATCGCCGGACTCGGACTGCATCGCTGTCGAGTAGCCAGTCGCACGCCGCATCGTCGACCGTCTATCATGAGTCACCGCTGCGTGCCGTATACCATGCACAATCCTCAAGTGTCGCGGACACGTTTTCCTCGCCGGACGAGCCGCCGCGTGTACGTGCACCTCCACCTGGACGCGAGTGGGATCCATATTCGGCATACGGCCAAACGGGGCCGCAGCGAGCGTCGACTTCGTATGCCGCATCGCGTACATCCACGAACCAGTATGCGGTTGTCCATCGTGGCCCTAGGCGGCCAAGTGTGGACACTGCTGTGTACTCGCCAACGCCTATGCCGCCTGGCCGAGGCTCGCCTGCATCATGGAACGCGCCGCTCAGGGAAGCGACGTGGTCCCCGGCGTCCGAACGGTCCGCCGCCTCCGCACCTTCGGTCCGTCAACCCCCGACGGTTGCACGGAGAGAAGGAGAGTTGAAGTCGTGGCAGCATTGGTATCACGAGCTCTCCCCGAAGGACCAACTCCAGTCTGCACAGCGTCTCATGCCGAGGGACGAAGCCGAGGCGCCCAGAACTGTATCTATCGCATCGCTGGATACGAGCGTCAAGACCATCAAGGAGGAGATAGAAGAACGAGATATACGTCTGAAGGCGTGGAAGAAGCAGCGTGAAATCGAGGCCGAGTGGGCCGAGAACAAACGCGAGGCGCAGGAACGCCGTTAGCGCGAAGGCTGGGTCCTTTTGTTCATTTAACCATCATAATATCACGGTCTTTCTGGGTCTTGGGTATCATCGTTCATCGTTCATAGCTTAGGATCAGACATTCAGCACCTACTAGTATTGTAGATTCATGACACTCGTTGCTTGTTGACAATACACCAAATGGGGAGAACCCTGGCGTCTAACCCCGGTCCACATATGTCAAGAAAGACTAACAAAGTCTATTCCCAGTCACTAGCGAGTGACGAAAACTGAGATGGGAAGGCGCTGATTACAGGCAGCATGCATGATGGAGGGAGAAGACAAGGGCCGCGAGCTAAATGTCGGCAGCACCCGGCAACGCGGTCACCTGCGTGATGGGCCATAGTCGACTTTGGAAAATCTGCCTCGAGGCAACCTCGTTGCAGGAAACGCAGCCCGGCGCGATGCCTGAGATAACGCAGCTTCATCCTGACGTGCATCTCAGGATCTGTCCGCGGAAGGACCACCGTCGGCTTAAGGATAGCGGGGGACACGCTTTGACTGCATACTCAGAGCAGCTTCGCTTCCCGCTCGCTCTGTAACCTTTTCGTCTGCCAGCCGACTCCGACCAGCCTCTGTATTCTTCGCTTTCCTGCGGGCCCCTTTAGCTTCGGCTTTCGGGCTCTTTACGACTTCTTACGACCCTATCTGCTTATCTAGCCGGGACTGCTGACCTGTGTCTCCGAATCATCTCTAAGGCCGCATCTTTCTGAGCTTCTCCTCTTGGTATAATCGTGCGCAATTCCTCAATCATGAAGAGCAAGTGATGAGATGCTAACACGCAGCTTCTGGCTTGCTCTAAAGGTATACATCGCTTGACGCCTGTAACCTGCCTTCATGTCCTACCCGCGGTACCGCAGCCAGTCTGTTCCTGCTGTTGAGATCGACGAGCCGACGAAGGGCAAGCTCCGGAAGCACGTCCAGAGCAAGTTCCAACCCGAATATCTCGATCTGGGCAAGCAGCGCGATGCCGCACTCAACACCGCCGAAGACGAGGATGCGCGCCAGAAAGCGCAACGCCACTATACGGAGGGTGTCGAAACGCTACGTTTGCTAGCCGATGAGGAGTACCAGAACCTACTCCGTCATGAGATGGCCAAGCGAGCTGGGGCGGAGCGGAGGGGACAGCCCGAGTCGGTGTTGCAAGAACAGCAGGTGCGGGCTTGCACATGTGCACGTGGTCTAACAACTGCTTACACCCACACAGCGTATCCTTGACAGTATACAACGGGGCGACGCCGACCATGTCACATACCGACCAGGCTCGACGCAGCCGCACTCAGGACGCGATCATGGCGCGCGGCGCCCATCCATCACCACGGCGAACGGAGCGACGCCCGAGTTCTGGCGCCCACCTTCTGTGAAGCCAGAGCCATCTGGGCTCTCGCGTACGCTAGCACATGCCACTGCTCGCCCACCCACCGCACCTCCGCAGATGCGGAGAGGTAGCGCGTCCGGCGGACTCTCAGGGCAGACCGGCGTCTCCGTGGCTTCGGAACACGCGCGTATGCGCACGCCTAATCCCGAGCACTGGAATGGATACTCGCGACAGCGAGCACCCTCAGATGCACATCGCGCTCAGTCCCCCGCGACACCGACCGTGAGCCGCGCTCAAGCGATACCCTCTTCATCCCACCATCGCTGGAATGACCATCCGCGTTCATCCTCGACGCGACCCATCAACACTAGCGCGCGCGCGGAACATGTTGCCTTCCCTGTAGGCACAAGTCCCGGTGCACGCAACGGCTATCCATCGCCGAGTAGCCCCGGTGATGTGCGCCAGGGAATAGCAATACCATCGCGGGGACGCTATAGCGGAGAAGACGGTGGGCGTAGCGCGTCTTACGGCAACGGCAGCCACTTGCGGAATCAGTCGTCCTCATACCGCTCATATCGTCATGATGTTGTACGCGAGAGTCCGGAGAGCGACGACGAACTGTTGGAGGAGGACGATGACGAGGAGCAATCGAGCGGCGACTTTGCGCACTCACTCGAGATTGATGAGGGCGCAAGCCCGGAGGACCGAAGACGCGCGTCTGAAGAACAGGATCGCAAACTCGCGGAGAGATTGCAGAAGGAGGAGATGCGGGCGGCTCAGGAAGAACGCAAACGGCGCCACGGCCAGGTGCGCATTGATCCTCTGTACCGATCTTTACACGAAACTGATACTCTTCTCAGGATCAACAACAGGAAGACTTTCGGAAACGAGAAGAGCAATACTATCGACGTGCAGTCGAGAGAAATCGTCAGGGTAGCATCGACGCTGGCCGCAACGGCATCTCTCCCTCGTCTTGGTCGAACCCGGCTGCCAACGGCCATACTCACCATAAACCGATCGTAGAGGATGTGCCCGCTCCATCTACTACACCCGGCCCGTCACGATCGCGACCGCAGGAGAACGCCGTTGCAGGTCCCTCTGGCAGCAGTAGATCGTCCCGGCTCACGTCCGAGTCCATGGCACGAAGCATTGGGGCGGCGCGTACGAACGTTGATGAGTGTTTGGACCAGATGTTGTCAGAGATGATGGAGCTTCGCGAGGAGAAGCTGAAGCTCGCTGGTGACGACGAGGACGAGCGGGATCGCGTTCTAGATCAGCATGCGGCTGGTCTACGCTCCATATACCTCATCCTCGAGCAGGCTCAGAACCAACTGCAGAGTGAGCTGAAGGCGAAGAGGAGTGAGATCGCAATGATGGCGCATAAGATGCAAATGAATGGGTCTGCGACATTGAAGATATCCTGAGGTGCACTCTATCTATTCATCGATCGCGCGCATCTGACTGGTTTTCCTATCGCAGAGATCTATGTGCCGAGGAATTGTTGTACGATGTGAGAGAGGATCGTGTATTCCCCTTCTGTCACCACCCAGAAGACACTAATACTTGCTATATATGAGCGTGCGTATTTCTACAATCTCCTTCGCGCGAAGCGACCAAGGTGGCTCGGGTAGGGTCTCCCGGCGGATGCTGCTCTCAGCACCTGTGCGGAGCCCCACTACTCACGACATCCGCCAGGCTCTGCTGTGAGTTACTGGTGCCGCCAGCAGGCCAGCAGTAGTCAGCCGCAGGCGCCGTGCAGCCGCTCCGCCGGATGCACGTCGGTCACCTCAAGGCAGTGATTTCTAGAAGTCTGTTCTGTTCGCAAAGGGGGAAAGATGGTCTAGACAGTCGGCGCCGCCTTCGCGATAAGCTGAGCCTGTATCACCGGAAGATCCCTTCTCAGAACCGCCTAAGCACTGGCGTAGCGTGTAGCCTTTACGGAGCGCTCTCGGGAGCACAAGGAAACGAGGCTCGCCCTCTTGAGTAGAGAGACTGAGAGACACACTATCACTACTGTACCACTATAGATCTTTGAGTAGTCTACGCCCAGTGCGTCGCGACAAATGAGACAACAAGTTCAGGCCTCCTAAGCGTGAGAGTATCCGATGTGCGGTACCGTGACCAAGTTCCATCTAGACGCACACGATCATGGCGGCTTGTCCGAGATCCTTCTGCTTCATCTGTGCATACTTGTTCGGGATATCTGCGACTCTTCACTCTTTCACGCTATTTGGGAATGTATGCATGCTATTGTTATCGGTACACTTGATCGCACAATATTTGGTGAGAGCACGCGCACAGTTCCGGGGCCGTGAGCTCGGGCTGGATAGCTCTGCCTGCTGGACATAGTACGAACGCGTGGACTTACATGAGGCTGATCAGGTCCTTCCGTCGTCACGTATCCTTCCTCCCGGCTCTCTCCACCATCTTGGTTCATCCTACGCTCGTCGAGTCTGGCAGTGAGCACCTCGTTCTCATCTCCGATGCCGATGAACATCTCTGACGCGCATCGCCGCCCAATCAGGCAGTCACCTTGTCACTTGCTCTCCCCCGCGCCTCGTTCCTCGTTAGATGGCGTCCCTCCCCTCCCCTTCGACCGTACTTGATATCAACTTGGACGAGGCAACCAGAGCGCAGATAAAGCGCGATGTCGAGAAGGAGCTCGGTCACATGGTGAGCGACGCACGCCAGGAGCTGGAGAAGGCGACCGCCAACGCACAGACGGAGGCCGAGCGTGAACGCGCGCAGAAGGATTATAAGGATACAATGGAGACCATGAAGATGCTTGCAAGCGAGATGTTCACGACGCGCATGCGCGAGCTAGTCAGCTCGCGTCGAAATCCTGCAGGCGGCCCCTCCGTTCAAAACCAGCAGCAGAGGATCTTGGAAACTATCCAACAGGCTTCTCCCGTCGTCTCTCAATCTCCTCAGTACTTTCGTCATAACAATCGGCGGCCCAATGCGCTGGATGTAGATCAAGAGGGGGAGTTTGATGAAGAAGAAGAGTTCGACGAAGAGTTCGAGGACGGAGAGGACTATAGCAGCGAAGGAGAGCCACAACCTGCTTCTGGTCCGCGATCAGCGTCGTACATGCCACGACAGCCACCACAGGCAATTCCGTACGCTGGGCCGCGTCGTAACACTCTTGAGCGTGGCTCGTCTCAGACAATCGGCCGCTCGCCCCTCGAGGACGGTGGTGAGAAAGGCGACACGGAGGATGAAGAGGATGGACCGCCTGCTCAAGTTCGGCGATCGAGCCAATCCCGTCCAAATCGCCGATCCAGTTCCAGCTCGGGCACGTTTCAGCGTCAGCATCCTCAAATGTGGAAGCCTCCTCCAACGACCGAACCGTCCGGCATCTCACGCACTTTACAACATGCGGGGACTGCCCCATTACCTGGCCCTCCACGACGCGGTAGTGTCAATGGCCAAGGTAGCGGTCCAAGTGTACCTGGTGTACCCGGGAGCTTTCGTGGTGGACCGACACCGAGTCCGTACGAAGGTCGCTCCGACGGGCGCGAACGCACGAATAGCGATCAAGCTGGCTGGCCTCCCGGTCGTGTTGGCCGGCATCCATCTCTCGGTATCGAACGTGGACCTACTGCGTCTCCGCGCGTAGAAGGAGGCACCGCTTCGCCTTTCCCTCCCGTTGCTTCAGGGTCCTCACCACGCACTGGCCAGTATGGCGTCGGCGCTCGTCCTATTCCCATGGGCGCATCAAATCGACCTTCTCCACACGATGATAGCATGCGCTTTCCCGCAACGGGTAGCAGTCCCAGCAGACCCTTCTACGGTCCACAGCGCTCGCCAGACGATACTCGCAATGGCATCAGCGTGCCTCGCGGGCAGTACACGCCCGATGAGATGCGTGCTGGCTCTTACGTAGGCACTCGCTCCATGCGCTCACGCCCTAGCCGAGAGGACTTTGGCGCCCATCGACGTGTCGATTCTTCTGGTGGCTGGTCCCGAACGCGCGGTGTTGGGGAAGAAGACGATGCTTTATCAGACTTCCCAGAGTTTGAGGAAGACGATCTGCCCGGGATGGACTCGAATAGCGTCCGCAGCGGCCGTTCGCAGGGCAGTCTGGCTTTCGCGCGCATGAAGGAGGCCTTTGAGGCTGAGCGACAACGCTTGAACGAACGCATTGTCGAGCTCGAGGCTTCCATACGACAGAAGGAGGCGGAGGCTAAGCAGCTCGAGGCTGATGCTAAGGAGCACGAGGCAGTGGCGCGGCGTCTCGAGCAGGAACGAGAGCGAGATTCCGTCAAATTGAGGAACGACCGTTTGGAGATCAAGGACAAAGAGGCTACTATGAAGTTACGAGAACTGGATCTCAAGCGCCAACAGGACGAGACGAATCGGGAGAGAGAGAACATTGAGAAGCGCCTTGAAGACTTGCGCAGACAAGAAGTAGAGCTTCGCAAACGACAGCAGGAGGTGCAGCGCAAGGAGGAGGATGCACGGAGGAAGGAAGATGACGCGCGACAGAAGGAGGAGGATGCGCGGGAGAAGGAACGCGATGCTCGGCAGCGTGAGGCTGATGCTCGCAAGTGGGAGGCAGAGCTGCGCACGCAAGAGGAGGAGCTCAAACAGCGTGTTGCCGCATTCCGCGACGAAGTTCGGGCGCATGAAGAAGACCATCGCGCGCGAGAGGCGGCCGTTCAAGCGCTCGAAGCTGACGTTCGTCGCAAGGAGGAGGCCATGGATCTCCGCGACAGCGTCTTGACCCAGAAGGAGCAAGACTTCAAAGAGCGCGTCGCTGTACAATCGCGAGAGTACGAGCAACGCCGCAAGCAGGAGGCGGCGAAGGCGAAGGCGGCTGAGCAGGAGCGGCGGAAACTGGCGGAGGAGGCGGAGGAGGCGCTGAAGAAGCGTGCGGAGGAAGCGGAACGGGAGCGTGAAGAGGAGGCGGAGCGTAAACGCGAAGAGGGTGAAGAGGAGGATGAAGAGCGTCGCCAATCTCTTGATCAAGACGAGGAACGCCTTGAGAAGGAGCGCGAGGAGCTCGAGGCTGAACGTCAACGAATCGCCGAAGAGCGCCAACGCCTCGAAGAAGAGCGAGATACACTTCTTGCGGAGCTACAGCAACAGCGCGAACAGCTTGAGAGCGAACGTCAGGCTCAGTTGAGCGCCCAGTCCGTGGAGGAGACTCGGAAGCAGGCTCAAGAGGCGAGGAGAAAAGATTTGGAGGCGAGGGCGGCGAAGCGACGAGAGAATGAAGAGAAACGCGAAGCTGAGGAGAGACGCTTGGCGGAGGAGCGCAGGCTAGAGGAGGAACGTGAAGAGGAGGAGCGAAAGGCAGAGGATGAGCGGATTGCTCGAGAAGCACAGGAGGAGGAGGAACGCTTAGCAGCGGAGGAAGCGGAGGCGGCTAGGGTAGCGGAGGAGCAGCGCCTCGCGGAGGAGAAACGCGTAGAAGAGGAGAGGAAGCGTGCGGCAGAGGAGAGGAGAATGAAGGAAGTGCGTATGGCACAGGCGAGGCGCGAACAGCAGGAGGCTCAGAAGAAGCGTGCGGAGGAAGAGGAAGCAGCCCGTCGGCGCGAGGAGGAAGATCATCGACTCGCGCAAGAGCTTCAGTCAGAGGAGTGGCACCAGGCTGCGTCCAGGCGGCAGGCGGCGCAGGAGGAGGCCTTTCGCGAACGTGAGGCTCAGTACTACAATCGTACCGTCGAAAGGGAACGCAACCGGTCCATCGATGGCAGCTACCGTGGTCAAACTCCAGCCTTTGATGGTCTCTTCCGTGGCACGACTCCTGCTCCCTCATCCTCGCCGTCTTGGTCTATGCCCTCTCGAAGCGGGCCCACCACAGCCGCAGCTCCTGCGACGGCCGGTGATCGTAGCAGCACATCTTCTTCCAACTGGGGTTCATCAACCTGGAGTCGGCCCACGTCCACCTCGAGCGCACAAACTTCCTACTCTCAATTCAGTACGACCGCCAAGCCGACTCCCATACCGAAAGCCTCCGGTTCGCGGTCAGGGAACAGCTTCTCGAGTTCATCGCCTCGCGCCTCTACCACCGCACGGGATGAAGCAGAGTGGCAGCGCCGCATGGACGAGCGTGCTCGCGCCCAAGCCGAGGCTTTCAAGCGCGAACAGGAGCGTGCCGAACAGGAGCAGCAGGCAAGGGTTGCGACGCGGGGCCTGTCAGCCACAGATATGACCGCGCTCTTCGCCCAGCACGCGAACATATGGAAGTCGCTCTTCAGTAGCGAGGGCTTGCGATGGAACGACTTCCCTTGGCCAGTCTTTAAGCGACCTTCGGAGCCAGAGGATATGACAACACAGGCCATAGGCGCTTATGTCCTTTCAAAGAATGCGCCGGACGCACAGAAGAGCTCGAAGGATCGGATCAAGGATCACATCAAGCGCTGGCATCCTGACCGCTTTGAGACCAAGGTCTTACCCCGAGTCTTCCAGACGGACCGCGAGAAGGTGAAGACGGGCGCAGGAGTCGTCGCTCGTGGTCTGAATGAGCTCTTAAGTCGGAGACAAGACGATTGACATTCCGCTACTTGTAATATGTGAGTGTGAACTATGTGCGTACTATGTGCATACGGCTAATGACATCCGATAGCTACTTGCCTGGCTCCAGCAACTCAAGAATTGTATCTATACCCTCATATCATCATGCAACTATCTGTACAAACATCATCTTTACCTATATTGTACGCGCACTTGGAACGAACATCGGTGTACTGCGCTTTTGGCATGTGTACTTGATAGAAACATTGGCCAGTGTATCAGGATATCCTGTTGTACTCATGCGGCTGAATATAACACTTGGACAAACTATAGTATACGCCTGCTTCTATTCCTGCGTACTTACCGGCGCATGTCAACCGCCGAGGCGTGTGCGCCGTGCGGACCGCTCGGCCGATCATGGCCGAACAAAATCACGTCACCAATATTTGCATTTCCTGTCGTCAACATTGTTCCTTCGACGACCATGACGCCCGCAGCGTCCGCATCCTTGACCTTGCCGCTCTAGACGACCTGAATGATCTCGCGTCGATCTGCGATGTTCTCTCCATCCCATCACTCCAAGCTTGAATAGATCCTCAACGTTCAACGTTCAATAGTCGACGTCAATTTGTCGGGAAACCGACGCTCCGCCTCACGAGAGATCGCCATATAACGCCTTTCTCGTACGGTTCCGTCCCCCCGGAAGATCCATCAGGCTTGTTCGGTGACTCCGCCTGCTCCTTTTGCGCTTGCACGAACACCATTTTCCTTCGGGTCGTCTTCGCTTGTCGGTCATCTCTGTCTTGCACAAGGAGGTCGTGAATATGCAAAAGAATGACGCTGCCGCCAACGCATTCGGCATCATCGGTACGTATAGATGGTTGAGATCAGCGCACTAGCGCTAACGCTATCATACAGGCACGCTATGCTGGACTCTTCAGCTCTTGCCCCAGATATGGAAGAGCTATCGAGAGAAGTCGACAAAGGGTCTGTCCGCCAACCTGGTGTAAGCCCTGCTTGTAATCAACGCTGAGTTGGATCTTGCACTGACATCGTGTATAGACTCTTATGGGGACTGGTCGGCATACCTCTTGGCATCTACAATACTATACAGGGTAACGGCGTGATCCTTGTTGTCCAGCCACAGGTGTTTGGGGTATTGTGTATCATCTCGTGGGCACAAGTGAGAGAATACGATTGTCAGACTCAACACGCCATACTGATACTCGTTCAGTGCCAGTATTACGATCGAAGACGCTCCGTTGCCTGGTGTGCTTGGGCGTTAGCCATCATATTTGCCTTGTTTGTTGGGCTCGAAGCCGGCATCATCTTCGCCCTCAGGGTACGTTTCTGCTCGGTGTCACTTTGATTTCGATTGACGTCTTCATTCAGCCACCATATGAACGCGGAGAAAGGTCTGCGGACATTGCCTTGCGCTTTTTCAGCGTTTTGGCATCCGTAATGCTGGCATTGGCACTCGTGTAAGCGTTTCCATTGCAAGTCTGTGCACCTTGTTCATTCATATTCGTCACTCCCAGCGACCAATACGTAGAGATCTGGAGGCATCGAGCCGTTGTCGGCGTATCTCTTGCCTTCATATTCGTTGACATGATGGGAGGTGTTTTCTGTGACTTGTCGGTGAGCGAGTCGACCTCAACAGTGTACAATCTAGAAGCTGACTCTCTGCACATCAGCTCGCATTTCAAGGCCAGTTCGACCCCTGGGCAGGAGTCGCCTACACTCTTGTCACAGTAAGTCGACGCCAATCGTTTGTGGTCTTGCGAAGGTTGACCGTGGCCCGTAGGTAATGGACGCCGTCGTCTTGATCGCCGCTATGATCCTCAATCCCCGTGCACGGCGGAGAAAGCGCCGACAACAAGACGCTGACGCTGAGCGACGGTCTGGGTCCATCTCGTTATCAGATAATACAGCGGCTCAGGAGGCAAGAGGGAAGGAGCCTACTGTGACCCCTATGGAGGGTACTGATGAGAAGGACCGTGTCCAGCCAGAGTCTGCGTAGGTAGCGTCCCAAGATCATAGGTCATGTAGCAATGCTACCTCTCGACATTCATCGCAATAATGCGGAACATCGTCATTTCGTGGATATAAAACAGTCCCGCCGCGATGAACGCGTCCTACAGGTTCGATGCGCGTGCGGAGAAGTTGTCGTGCCAACGTTGCGTCCTCCCGCGATCTCAGCGTTGCAGCATTATTCCTTCACCAACACCCCCCACGAAGATGTGAACTCCCCTATCAGCTCGTTGGATGTACCCACTACCCGTGAAACCGGACCGTGCATCACGGGCGGTAGATTGACGTCCGCGGCTCAGTCCAACACCAGCGAACAACCAGTCTTCGCGGAGGCGATTGATCTTGGTCGGTGCAATACACGTCAGTTTGATGCTCTGTCGTCCTATCATGCCCAGTCGGCGGGCTTCTTGACCTCGATAACGCAGAGGCCGCCCTCGACGCGCTGATTGAAGATGATATGTCGAAATTTATCTTGTCGACACATGTCCAGCAGCTTGATAGGTCTGTGCTTCAGTGTCCGAGCGGCGTCTTTTCCCGTACAGCGCCACTATTTGCGAGTCTATCACCCATCGCGCGGCAACACGTATTGATGCTTTGACGCGCATCATCTGTTGAATATACTCCCCTGGTCATGTTCGCCCTCACCGATCCCCCTCCCCTTGACGCACGCCACACATTCGCCACACGCCGTCGACCTGCTACAGCCAGCCATAGAGGCCTTCGCCACGAACTCTGACCAAGTCAAATGTTCTGCGTGGCAGGCTCACTTCCCTTTCTGGGTGACGTCTCTCGCACTTCTCGAACTTGTCGACCTTCTCCCGCTGTTGTCTCTGACTAACACTTCGACTGGGCTGAGTGACCTGATCCGCGCTGGCATACACATTCTTTGTCATCCCGTACAGTGCGGGTTCATCTAAGTAGTTCTCTGACATTCATGAATTGCTTGAGCTGGTGCTGCGATCTTCCGTTTGACGCAATGGGAATCCAAAATAGTCCGAAATACGTGTATGAGATCCTATGTGAAAGTATCGCGGACTAGACCTGCGTCCACGGTCCACCGATGTCTAATACCCGGCATCTTGCGCGCTTGCTCTCACTGGCCTACAGCTCCCGAACTGACGCTCAAGGCCTCGTGCATGCGAACACCGCCGTAATGTCCTGAACCAGACAGTTGTTTGTCGTTGCTAGCGGGCCGTAGATGTCGTTTGGAGAAGCAAGCACTGCGGTCAGCCATCGCGGATTGGATATCGAGCGACGAGACATTTATATGGGCGTTCCCCGGGTCAGTATGAGTGCGGAAGATTGAACTCTACAGCATTCAATATGCACCTCAGTAGGACTAGTCTCAGCGCGCGTGCAGACCTGCAGCAGAAGAACGCGCCTGCTGGCAACGCTCTTGCGCGCACGCTCATAGCGCTGCCTTTCGTAGCGCAGCCTGATCTGCGCCCGCCGTGCCTCCCTCCCACGATGGATTCGCCCCGCTTACGCTTAGCCTCGAGGCCCGCCTCGCGGCGGCTTCGAAAACTTTGAGAGCCTCACCGACGCGCCTCGTGTCGGTACCGAGCCTCATGCCATCGTCGGTCAACTCCCGCTTCAAGGTGGCGCAGATCCCGCCCACGCTGAGCAGCCTCGAGGGCGGCAACGTGTGGGCGCTTGACATCGCTTGACGTATTCCCGCCCCTGCGGTTGGTATTCCGCGCGCCTCGAGGACTGTACGGTAATCTGTGAGCATCGAGGAGGAGAGCCCCAAGGATCTGAACCTCGTCGGCCGCCTCGGCTCAATGTTGGGCGGGACTGGACGGGTTTTCCGGGATGATGTTAGGCGGAATAAAACGTCCGCATAGACGCTTGCGGGCATGTTGTGCAGGGTGGTCGGCAGGTCTGTCGGCGGTCGCATAGAGGGTGATGCGAGCCATGGGGTTACCGCGTAATCGGTAGTATGAGTAGATTTCTCCGGCGCAAGACACTATGAAGAACTTTTCCTCGGAATGCTGAGGATGTGCGGCCATAAGAATGCCATGCATCCATGGTTGAGAAAATGCATAGTGAAGACGTTGCAGTTCACTTGGCAGAAGTCATATTTTGTTGCAGGGGCTGTGTAGGGTGCTCGGGCGTATTCGCAGAGGCGCATATACGCACTCGTCAGAACACGGCGCCATGAGTATGGGAGATACGGTTATTCTACACTTCACTTCCACTGGTTCAGCGAAGACGTGTACCAGACGTCTCCGTGAGCATGATACCACTGTGTTGGGGGCTGTGCAGGGTCCTTCGAGGGAGCTCCAACGTCCAGAGCACTCGGCGCGCATATACGTATTCGTCAGAAGGAGGTGAAGATGTATGGGGATAGGCGCCGAACGGCTCAACACTCGGGACGTCGCTCTGGTATGCTTGGCAGGGTGCGCGAGAGAAGAAGAAGTCCAATTCATGAATGGGCCTTCATCGTGAAATCATGGTGGCGCGAAAGTTGCCGACGAGGATGAAAGCGTGAACGAAGGGCGTACGGAGACGTCCCGCTGTCAACAGCGGAATAGTCGCCGCGAAGCGAGTACTCCCCGACGTACGCGCCAAACCAACTTGGCGACAGTCGAAGTTGTTCCAGAGGCTGTACGAGAAGAGACCACGCACACAACAGTGGGAGAAGCTATCAAAAGCAGCTGCATTGAGAAAACTCCAAATCCGAAAATATGTTACAGTATAAACATTGATACTAGACAGAGGCGCAATCCACAGCGCAGAACCGGGGGTAAAGAATATCCGGGGAAGCCTAAGTCAGAGCAGGTCTATGAACAGCCGAGCAACGAAGTATGAACAGCGAAGGAGAGCGAGCGACGGTGCGAATGAACAGGTCTAGGGATGAGGCGGCTCGGGGGTATGTACAGTAGGGTGAGCAGTACCAATGACAGGGTAGAGTAGTATGTAGAGTTTTAGGTAGACGATGGCGGGCGGCGACGCAATCAGTAGGTGTAGGATAGGAGCGGCGATAGGAGCTCGGGGATAGGTGGAGTGGAGCGGATGGACTGAGAACTTCCGAGGGAGAGCATAGAGCATAGGACAAGGAGAGTGTGCGATGGATACAGTCATCCAGTAGGCAAGCATAGTGAGACAATGAGCGTGTGCAAAGGGCTACAGAGCAGAGCAGGGAGCGTGGTAAGCGTACAGTGCAGGAATTCGATCAGAGACAAGGAGGGTGTATGTGGGGTTTCCGGTACAACAGTCAGAAGTTCACAGTCGGGCGGAGTCCAGTCCAGTCCGAACAAATAGGATGTGGTGGGTGATTGTGTCGATGAGCGCCAGGCTACGTGTGCGCGATTAGGCGCAATGAGCTATGTACAGCGCGGGGTACCATCACTGGCGGCGCGGAAAGTCGTCGCGTGGCGCGAGTGCCTGCGAGATAGGAGGTCTTCGTCGTATCTAGAACAACTTGCGTTTCGCCTCCACCCAGCTCAGTGCGACTGAGCCGGCGCCCTGTATGTGAACACGGGCTTGAAGAACGCAAACATTCTCGGCGACAGCTGCGCTCTTCCAGTCAACCAGTACGCTTTGGTTGTCAGACCCGCGCGAGAACTTGCGTATCTCGCCGAATGTCTAAATCATACAATCAGCGACTTGCTCGCGCAGTGGGTAAAGAAAATTCCATACCTGACACCATGCGCGTACTGCTCGCTCTTGAGCGTTGCCGTAGTCGCCGTCGAGCGGATCGAGACCGCTGACGATCAATCGTTTGCGGGGTACCCGAGCACGACTGGCGCTACGTGTGCTTGCCCAGCTCATCCTCTGCTTCCTTCGCTCCTCCTTCTTGTCCTTCTCTCCCCGCGCTGGTCCGAGAGTATCGTCACCCTCTCCCGCACGGTCGTCGACAATGCCAAATTCAGCCATATCAGGCTGGGTGGGCGGTGCTGAAAAAGGCACCGGGGGAAGCGAGTACGGGAATGCCGACGTTGCATACGAGGTCTCGCCATCGAAGGCGCTGTCACCGTCAGGTGATGAGGCATGTGCACGCGCGAGGAAGGCGGCATAGTCGCCTTGTACGGTAGCGGCTGAGCTTGGAGGCGGAGGCGCTGCGAAGGGATCCTCGACGTCGCTCGCGTGGCTGATATAGCCGAGTTCACTCGCATCGCTAGGCTGCCGAACGTGTACTCGTGATGGCGTCGCAGGCGTTGATGGCGTAGGCGGGTATCCCGGACCGCGCTTGGACCCAAGACGGGAGATGGTACTGAGCAAGCGCGTCCGGAAAGTCTTCTGCTTCGGCTTGCCAGGCGTGCCCGGTGTGTTCGGTGTGTCCAAAGTGATAGTGGCAGGGCTGGCAAGGTTGGTGCTGGATGCGAGGCTCCAGCGAGACGTCTCGCCTTGCGGGACAGAGAGCAGTGTCGGCTTGTGCCGAGGTGATGCGATGGGCGCGAGGCTCGCGGTGGAAGGTTTGCTCGAGAGTGAGAGTGAGGGCATACTCGGTTGGTGCACGAGGCTCGGCAGATGGATCTGCGACGGCGTGCTGCTCAGTGACGAGCTCGTATGAGTCAGCGCGGGCGTCTGGAGGAACGTCTGGAATGCGCTTGCAGGCGTCGTGGGCGTCTGCGGCGGCGGCGCGGGGGATGCCGAAGCAGATGCTGTCGTGCTTACGGACGGGAAGCGCCGCGAGCGTAGTGATGCATGTGAAGGCGACGACGGCAACACATGCGAAGTCAACTCGGCGTGTGTCCCGGTCGAGAGCAGCGGCAGCGAGGGCCTCTTGCGAGTGACAGGTGCCACTGTGGCGCTGCGCTGTGAGTCGTGCGAGTGTGCGGTCTTCTTGAGAGCAGGTCGAGGCGGGAGCGGCTAGTAGGCAAACAAGGCGCACGTGAGCACAAGCAACTCGATGACGCGGAAAAAATGCAGGCAAGCTACTCACCTTGTCGCGCGAGGAGCCAGGCATCTTCCATGCGTTCATTTCTTGTACCAGATGCTCGTGCTCATCAACCGGGAGCTCGGGCGTAGGCAGCGTAAATGGGTCAAAGTCCGAGGGCAGGAGCGATGACTCGCGCAGGGAAGACTGTTGTAATTGTTGGTCTACTTCGGGTTCAGAGTCGAGCCATTGGTACTGGTCGACGATCCAGTCCTGAATGCGGCTGGCACCGAGGATATCATCCATGTCGGCGCTCATGTTTGTTTTGTCAAGAGGAGTGCGCGGATGCGTCGGGAAGGGGTTCGGCCTGGCGATATTGGATGTTGCCGTTTTATGTGTTCGCGCGCCCTCCCGTGAGATGTGAAATCGGAAATGTGATATGCTTCGCGCAAGATCAATCGGCAATATACACGCGGCGCTTGAGGCGGCTTTCCCCGCGGCTCCTCGCGCTCTCGCTCCAGTTCTCGCCCTGCCCATCCAGCTCACTCCTTGCTGTGGACTGGACACTCCGAGGCTCGTGGCGGATGCCTCCTTCAAAGGCAACAAGTCCGGGCGACAGTATAATCAGACAGGCATCAAACCCCCAGAGATGCACCCACGCGCGCGCCCAGAAGAACCTGCCGCGTGTAAATCAATCCAGGGAAACGGCGTCGCGGCGAAGCCTCGAACATCCGTTTCCGCAGCGCTTCGGACCCGGAACGCGTGGTGCGGCCACCCCATCTGCATCTGTAAATCGGGATTTCCAGGCTCACTTTGTTTTCCCGGACAACCTTCTCTGTCTTCCTTTGTTTGTCGCGTCACAGTACCCGGCGCTTCGAACACTGTTCTCGGGCGTCATACTTCCGTATACCTGTTGTTCGCTGGCGCACAACGACCGACTCAAAGAATGAGTATCTATGGCTGTTCGACGCCGTACCCACCGATATCGACGACCTTGACACGCCCCGGAGTTTCTTCTTCTCTTCAACTGCCGCCACCTTGACAGCATCCTTCGACTTCTGTGTATGGGGGTGCGCAATTGGGCCTCGCGACGCGTGATTCCCACGCTGGCCGTGAAGGCGCGTCGCGCTCGCCGCGTCAGTCGCGTCGCTCGTCGCGACAGGCGCAGGCGTTCGGTTAACTAGATAATTGAGGCACTATATATGCCGATATAAAGTACATAGACAGACTCGAAAGATGCATGCAAAGAGATTGTTGGGATGAAAATCCTCGGCGAGGCCTACCAAAACTGTGAACTTCAGCGGAAGTTCGGGGGAGTTCCTGGAGCGAATACAATCGTTCTCAAAATTTCGTCCCAACAAATCATCGCGAACTATCTTGGGTATCTGAATCTCGGTTGTCAGAAGCACAGGGTGAGTGGTGTAGAAAGAGTTACGCTTTTGGTAGTGTATGTCGCCGAGAGATCGAGGTCGCGCGTCGATGTACCGCGACACATCGACTGGCCGCATCGCGGTATGCACTCCACCCCTTCGTCCAGATGCAGAGTTGTTGTGCAGTGCTTTCTTCCACCTCCCATGATGCTATACTTATAACCCTCCCTACGCACGTTGAGAATGCCGCGCCTGAAGCGACGCTCCAATGCGCAGATCGCTCGCTTGCAAGACATCACGGCAACCCGTTGGCAGGCGCGCGAGATTGCCGACGGCGCCGCCACAGCCGCAGAAGCTGCGAACGCCCACGCCACAGCCTCAGGCACTGGATCTGTAGATACAATGTGTACTGTTTGATAGAGCTACTATGGCTGCCACAGAGTTCACCAGAAGGCCACACGGCGATGGACGAAGAACCGTGGGAACACAATCCTGCCTCAAACCAGGTGTGCGTACACAAAAACTCCAGTCCCACACATGAGCTCTATGCGCGCAATAACCTCAGAATGGGCAATTGAGATCCCTGTGAGCACTGTTGTTAATTCGTACGCCAATCTATCCGCTATTTATCACATTACGAGCAGCTCAACTTGTGGCAGGAGGAGGCAGTCATAACTCGTTTACGATGGCCCCGCTCGGGAGACTATGCAAATTCGGACTCGCTAAACCTATTCTTTGGGTGATTTCTAACAGCTGTATGCAGATTCCCAGAGAGCGCTCGATGAAATGCGGCACGTACGCCACCAGAACCGTCGCGACCGACGATTCCGAACCTTTGTGCGGTGGGAACGTGCACGTGCCTTCACGGTCCGCTACGCGGACTTGCGCACCCCCACTGTGTACTGCCCGGGCAAGGCCAAGAACATAACCGTGTACATGCCCAATGCATACGCCTTCCAGGGCTCTTCGGTACAGGCAGCGATATCCATCCCAGGTCCCAGGCTACCTTGGCAATTACCCTCAACCGGAGCTTGCCGACCCACCAGTGGCCCAGAGCCGCCCGCCCACCGCCCTCGAAATTTGCCCACGTTCCGCGGGCTACCCGACATCTCCTTCCTGAGCGTTCGGCAGCAGCGCTCTGGCAGGTCTGTCATCCCCGTACGTACAGTAGTACGATCCCAAATGAACAACTGTCGGGGTGCCCCACAGGACGAACTTACAAACAACTCCACCGTCGTATATGCGCGCGATCGACCCAGCGCGCCCTCAGCCCTGCCACTTTCCAGTGGAAAAGATGTATTTCTAGCGCCTGACCACAGATAGTGGAATATCCGGCGGCGTAAGCGATATAGCAATATCTGAACATATGAATGTGATCGTTTGCGAGGGCCACACTGTGCTAGCGTGAAAGCGCGGGACCGCAAGGTGCCACACTACGACCAAATCGAGTAACCCCGACGCCCGACGCCCGACGAAAGCCCTTTGCGCAGGCGATGTGTGCTCGCAAGCTGCGATTATCGACTCCCATCACCTGCAGGCTCGCATGATAATGCGTGCCCTTTCATCTCCCTAGCTTTGCATCGGGCTGTAACCCATGCGCTTGCACTATTCACTGCACACGTCCATCTCGACGCGCTTCGCCCGAGCCTGAGCGTGAGCAGCGCAGAGACTGCGGCGATTCGCCGCTGTCGCATACTGCATACACATACATCGTCAGACCCCCTCTGAAGCCGTTGTGCCGAGGCTCCGATGCGTAGAGTACGCATCGTATACGCTCGGGTGCGCGCGCCTCCGACGCATGACGCTCGCACCCTCCGGTTTCCCACAGCGCTGAGGACAATGTACCCCTCTTCGCCGCGGCCAGCTGTCAAAGAGCTTCTCCCGCCGTCCTTTGTTCGCCCTGCACCCGAACCTGCAGTTTATGGTCCATGCTTCCCTGTGTAACCGCGTTTTGATTGGTCGAACTGTATGGGTGCTCTTGAATGTTGCCTGTTCCTTGCATCGTTCGCCGCCCACTTCGCGCCACTCGGTATCTGCTGTACCTTGCGTCTTGAGCGACCTTGCCGACGAACATTCTTCCTGCCACTCTGGTCCTAGGCCCTACGCAACCTTGTCCCGGTGAATGCTCCTCATCGTATACCCCTCGGATAGCTTCACTTACACAGTATCCCCTTCTTAGGTGTCAACCCGCGGCGGGGAGATGTGACATGCGCCCACACCGAGATCATGCCGGTGCGCTATCCGTCCGGTGATCTTCTGCCTGTGAGTCTCTATCCATGCTCTGTCATGTTGTTCTATGTTCGTATGTGCTTACTATCCTGTGCCTCGCGCCAATTCTCTGCTGTCCAACCTTTCAATCTACCTCGGAAGCCCTTACCTCGCTTGATGGCCGTCACTCTTTGGTGGTATCAGATATTCTGTACTCTTACTCTCTCATGTCTCCCCGTACTTGCATACGTTGATCGTTCCTCGCGTCTACTCTAGGTCATTTGACCTTCATCATCATACCTCTAGCGGGACCCGTCCAACTCATACCAGTGCTCGCTTCCTCAACACTTCTTCCTCGTGCCACACAATTCGCTTCTGGTCACACATTGCGCGGATGTCGTTGTTCCGCATTCACCGGATCCCTTCAGCCTACCGAGCTCAGCCCACCGCCTGACCCGAGCTTTTCCGCGTAATGACCTTCTGCCGCACCTCAATGGTTCTCTTCCAGCTGTCCGTGTTTAATCTCTGCTCATCCATTTTGAGTTGTCGTCATATCCCACTGCTTGCCCCGACGGTTTGATGCCGCCACGTCTCGGAGACGCCGGACCACTCGAGCGCGACAGCACCTGTGCTCAAAACGACAACTTCGCCGGCCGCAGCAGTATACAGCCCATCCACAGTACTCTGTGCCTGCGCTCAACGTAAAGCAAGCTTTGCCCGACTAGATGTAGGCCAAGCTTTTAGGTTATCAACTACTCAAGCATCCCCCTAGATGGTGATACGGACGAGATCCTACGTACGAATGCACGCATCATGGGCAAATAGAAGCTTCGATAATCGCGGATTGCACATGATCGCAAAGCCCAGAATCGGTAGAAGGACATAACGGAGGAAAGCGATCTATGCTGCGCTCCCGCGCTTCGCGGCGTTTGGCTTCTCGACGGGCGTATTGGGCTTCTGGCGACTGTGCGATCACTCACGGTTTTCTGTTGGTATGTCCGTATACGCGCAATCCCTTGTCGTCGTTGACTCAAGGTCGCAGGGAGAAGCCTCGGGTATGAGCACGTCGACAGGTATCCCGGTTTGTACTTGACATGCTAGCAATCCCGGGTCGCGGGTTTTCCCTGGAGCTTGAGTCCTGGCTATATGCGCAGTTCTGGACAGCTCTAGTTGCTGGTTAATCTTCACGTCTGACTGGCTCTGTCGCATGCTAGATTGTCAGTCGAACTCCGTGATACCGTCAATATACGCCACAAACCCGCGGTGCTGTCTCTGCTCCCAAGTGTTAGGACCTTTTTGTTTCGTACTGTGAGCGACCCACTCTATCTTGGCGCAATACCTCTCACTGTCTATTATATTATGTGTTCTGTACGCTTTCGACGTGCTCACACCAATACAAACGACGAGAAAGGTTCGGCGACGGACAACTCTATCTCGCTGTATTGACAAGTTCTCGCCGCTGGGCTTACGCCGACTACTGCCTCAATGTGGCCTTCTCAGCATACTGCTCGCCTTCGTCTTCCCTGTCTTACAGTTGTCTGGCGTCTCCATACTGGACGGTGTCGGGCTGTACTTCAGTAGTACGCATGGCCTGATCTGCTCCGCTTGGTCTTCTCTGTCAAGACAATCGGATCGTAGCTGCATGCACATCATGGCTGACCTGGCTCGGCCAGCTCGGTCACGATATCTGCCTCTCTTCTGTCTATACAGCTGCCTAATTGACCTATCTTCTCCACAATTCCTACTCGGAGGTAGCTGAAGTGCTTCCGCGCCGCCAGTCCTAATGAACTCTATTCGCACTCGGCATTGACTGCCGCAAACACTCCCGGTGTGCGGCTGGGGACATCGATAGTGTCAATCGAAGCAACTTGGACGTGTCACGGATTCAAGAGTCGGTCGTTCACGCTCACAAAGACGCGTACATATCTTGTCGCCTCAGAGCCTGTCGGCCAGTGCGACAAGAGGATTTCCGCGCGCATAGTATGTCCGATTTCGTCCCGCGTTACACAATACTAAACCAACCTTATCTCATACTCGTAAGAGCTTCTACAAGTTACGCGTAATGCGCGTAATGTAGTCCAGTCATGACTAGCAGCACCATCTGCCCAAGATGAGTGTGAGTGGCGATCCTTATCTGCGCGCCTATCGATCGCAGATCTTCCATCGGGAGAGGGCTGAGTGCGTGGTGGACCTCTCGATCCCTCTCACTTCGCTCTGTCTAACGTGTTGTTACAGATAAAATACTGAGATCCTCAGCTGAAGTAGGGAGAATGTATGCATGCGACGATCTGAAGATGCAGGAGCACTGCCCCGTTCTGTACCTGAGCAGCGCTCATGAAGTCAAGGGCTGGTCCCTCTACCCCAATATATGCTAGATTCTATGCATATTCAATCGGTTCATCTTTATGAACAATGTTTCCATACGAAGAGCAAGGGCGCCGTGCTCCACTATCCGGCCCATATCCGACGTTAGAGCACTATGGCACCACCGTTTCAGCCCAGTCTTACCCATGCTATAGTCCACGGTCATGCACGCAATGCGTCGCAAAGTTTCATGAAAGATACGCTCTCTTTCCACCACTCAATAGATGACAGTCCATTCGGCGTACTTTTGGACAGCACTGCGGAGGTGAGCCGGGGTCGCAGATAAGCGATGCACGTCCATCTAGCCACCTGGGCGTCTACGTCCTACGTTTCACTGAAATCAGTGCCTTCACAGGCGCATCACTGATTACACCCGCAGTGTGTGTTGCCCAACCGTTCATCCATACTCCCTCGGGTGCAAGATAGAGAGGGAATCCGACCCTGCGCGGCATTTCCGTACGCAGTTCACTCGACGAGCCGCAATGACCATTACCAACGATCTACAAGTGAAACTGTCACTACATGCCCTGAGAATGGCACTGAGTGGACATTTCCAGATACTTACACGACAAGGACTCGAATTCGGGTTGTTGGTCTCTATGTTCATCGCCTGTAGTCCCGTCGACGCACAAGCAGCGCCGCCTCACTCTCACTGCAGAGGCGCACGGCGATCTCGGGAATCCTCCGTCGACTTCGTATCCTTGAACAACGCGGTGCCTCTCGGTGCTCTCCCCACAAGGCTAGCATTCCTTCGTCTTCGGGATCTGGGACACGACGATCGTCAGGTCCGAAGCTGTCTCCCGAAGTGTCATGACACGTTCTCGTACTTCTGTATATTGATTCGCATCGAGTTCGATGGATGTACAGCGACAGCGGATGCCTATTCCGCGAGGCGTTCTCTATCAGCCACTCGAAGTCGTCGTGGTTGGGTGCATTCCAGGGCCAGGGAATGCAGCTCATAGTGTATGCTCAAGCACTCTTTCAAGGAAACCACCACGCTTGCAGATGTGTCCCCGCGTGCGATCCTGCGCGATCAAGCAGTCAGATCTCGATGAGAACGAAGATTCCAAATGCAGTTACCATGGCCAGCGCGACTGAAGCGCTGAATCCTGAGGCTTCATACTCGCCGTACCAAGTCGGGCGGCAAGAATCTGGTACTCGTCGACGTGTACTTAGACGATTGTTCAACTTGAACGATCTAGCTTTCTCAAACGTCATTCCGAGTACTAGAACAAGGTACATTCTAGACTGTCTGTGCTCTCGAAATGACACCTGGGGACACGGATGCTGGTGCCGCCATAATGCTCGAGCAACGGGGTGCATTTGAAGAGGGAGATCGGAAGCCAACTGTTGCTCAGCGTCATCAGAACGCGAACCCCGATACCAGCGCTATGATCCTGTTCACATTCCTCGAGAACCAACGATCGGGGTGCGCGGATGCGACTGCGTGCGAGACGTCAAGGGACGGCAGCACGGCCTAGGACGACAGCAGAAGATCTGGACTCGTCAGAGGTGACCGGTGAGCGCGGGATCGGCACGTCGCCGTTGTCGATGCGCGCCCACTCGTATGACTGCCCCTTGCGCCCTTCCCAGAGAGCTCGTCCGATGTCGTCCAAAGCGGCGAGGAAGTGTACGGAGAGACGTGCGCGGGACCGGTGTGCGCGCATGCGCGCGATCAGAACGACAGAACGCGTCATTGCGCTCAAAACCAGATCGGGAAATAGCTTCATTTGAAATGTCGGTCATGCTGTAAGCTGTAAGCTCTAGCTTGGATACCATGATGGTCGTCGGCAAGCGCAAGCTGGTTGCAGCGCGCGGAAGGGCAGAGGATAACGGCGAGGTTTCCCCAGGGAAAACTCCGCATTTGGTAGGGTGCGAGCACGAGGCGCTAGTCGGTTGATTGTGAGCTTCCGGCCTCGGGGCGCATATTTCAGCCAGCCACTAGTCAAGCGATAAAGTATGCGCTACGAGCTAGCGGCACACGATCACAGTCTTGTTCGGTCTCTAGCCATCCAGGCGTGCACCATAGCATCTTGCCGACGGGTAGAGCCAGCAGAACAAAGAGGCGCCTGGTGCTATCTGGCGGAAACCAATTCTGCGGCGTTCCAGCTGTTTGCAGAACGA